TCTTTGTTACCTAGTGCACCGTAATGTCTTTTTCAATATCCATTTAAATATACCAGTTATGATCTGCAGTTATAAGCAGTAAAAGCAAGATCACTGTAGTTAATCTCTAATTTCAATAAATGAAGAAAAACTGTTTGTAAAAATTATATGAGTCTAAGTAAATGCTTAAACAAGATAGAGGACAACAAACAGAAAGTAGGATCTGGGGCCAGAACAATAGGACAGAAGGAAGGGCATTTGCCTTGCATGCGGCCTACCCAGGTCCAATCCCCATCATCCCAGATGTTCCCCTAGCACTGACTGGAGTAACTCCTTCAGAGCTGCAGTTATGCCTGCAGAGCCAGGAGTAACACCTGAGCATCACTGGGTATGATCGAAGAAAGGGAAAAAAAAAGTAGGAGCTTAACTGTGCATTTTTATTTTTGGTCTCATTTAGTTTCTTTGAGCGGACCATGGAGATGCTTAGGGCTTGCACTTGTTTCTGCACTCAGTGATCACTTCTGTTTGGTCTCAGGGAATCGTATGGACTGCAAGGGATCGAACCTGGGTCAGACCTGTACAAGACAAGCGTCCTACGTGCTGTTCTATTACTGATTCCCTAAGCTTGTAACCAATTATCTACATATTCAGTTAAAATGACAGACTACGTTACCCCCTAAGAAAAGCAAAGTTGCAGGAAGTCAAAGAAGTTATTTCATAAGAGGCTTGTTAGAGTTTTTACTGGCCCATTTAATTGAAAGAAATGAAAGAGTGTTTCACTGGTGAGAGGTTGTAAGTGGCCTCTGGATCTTGAAAACCATCACACAAAATTTATTCATTCCTCTTCGATTTAATACTTGAAGATATGGAGTAAAGAATTATTTAGATCTTCCTCCACTTATAATTGCGTTTTTCCCATTAACCCATCATATAATAAAAACACTCTTCATACACCTGTCAGGCATCACAATTTTATCTTGTGACTGTGAGCTATAACTAGCCGTCACTGGCCTACATCAAAGAAGAGCTTCATACTGCATACATCTAGTTTGGAAAAAAATAGAAATTCTACTGAATGTGTATTGTTTTTGTTCCAACATAAAATAGAAAATCATAAATCAAACCATTAGAAATCGAGATCATCCGTACTCCTAGAAAGCAAAAGACATTTAGAGGCATTTTCACAGACATTACATTTTAAATAGAAACTGGAAAGTTCTTCTAACTCCATTTTATCAAAGGTAGAGCTAAGGTTTAATAGCTTACAAAAATGTGAATATTTTAATAATCATCAGTTATTTTACATAGAACTGGAAATAGAATGATTATTAATTTTTCTTCATAATTAATGATCATTAACAACACATATATAACTTATTCGACCAATTAATAAGTAGATAACATGATTAAAAGCAATTATCTTCTGCTCTCTTGCTTAATGGCTTTCATCTACAGTTTTACCAAATTTACATAGTGCTTTTTCTAACTTTTGATTTTGAGCATATTTGCTATAAATGAAACTATTTCCCTCCACTGCATTTGTAGTGCAATCCAAGAAAAAAAACCCATGGCACTGTTTGAAATAACACCTATCAGGGGTATGATGCCGACAGCAGGTCAATATGTACCTGCGAGGCAAATACATCAGCAGCCTTATGGTGCCTTCAGACTTCTAGATACCCAAAAATTGCTGCTGTGCCTTTGGCCAAACCCCAACAACTTGGGGCCAAGTTTACCAAGAAAGTAAATGGCCAAAAGTTGGGTATGTGGAAGACACACCCACAAACCATCTCCGGCTCAGCTATATAATTGAAAGCAAGAACTCTCTGGTTCCTGATCAAACTGCTTAATGGCTGTGATCCCAGAGACTCAGAAACAAATCTCGGAACCCAGCAGGTTTTGGCAGAAATTCCTCCAGATTTAATTGTTAAAATTTCGGAATTCCAAAATCGTGTGGCCACTACTACAGCCACGTAACATCATATGTTACTCATAACCAGCAATAGAAAACAAATTGTCTACTGCTGCCTTTTCAGCAGATCTGAGTGTTGGGGTAAAATCCCAAATAATAATGGTGGATCTGGGGTCGAAATATTGAATGAAATCAAAGAGAGTAATGTGGAAATCATCTGCTCACAGGTAGTGGGAGGGTGTGGGATGCGGGGGTAGACTGGGGGTTTTGACGGTGGAAAATAAGCACTGGTGAAAGGACAGGTGTTTCATTGTATAACCGAGACTTAAACCCAAAAGCTTTGTAAATGCTGTCACAATGATTCAATAAATAAATTTATGAAAAAGAAAAAAAAAGGTAAGGTGGAGTTCATGACCAATTCAATCAGCCTAATCAATGGCCAAATAGCAATACTCCTACATAAAAAGAAAGAAAGAAAGAAAGAAAGAAAGAAAGAAAGAAAGAAAGAAAGAAAGAACACCTGTCAGCCAGCCTCTGTGAGGCTATTGCTCAAGGCAGAGACGTTAGCAGCAGCAGGTTTTTCCACCCCGTGCAATATTACAGAGCTATGGCCCAAGGGCAGCTGTTAGAATAACTTGGATTTCTTATGATCACTGAGTAAACAAATTGATTAATGGTCACACATATATGACAATGTTCCTCTGACCCACAAAGAAAAAAAAGAAAGAAAGCAAACTTCTGCAGCAACTAGCCCATAGGGCTAGGACCTGGCTGAATGGCTAACTTTCCACTTTGGCCTCCAATTTCAACCCAGAAACAAACCAGGAAATCCAATTAGTAACCCCAAACCAATCATATGTGCCATTTCTTATTCTTCCCACTTAACAGACTTATTACCATACCTCTAATAGGGATTACCAGAAGCTCCCTCCATTCCTTTCCCTCCTGTTTTCATTATTAGATTTTACCTCATTCCATCTTTGAATTATCTCCTTTCAGCAAACTGTTCTAAGATAGGTTGTATTCATTATTTTTCCATATGTGAGTGACGTCTATATTGAACTCTATGAGTATTTTTATAGGATTGGAGGGGGGGTGCACCCTGCGGAGCTCAGGGTTTATTCCTGGCTCTGAGTTCAGGGATCACTCCTGGCTGTCATCGGGGACCACAGGGATGCCACAGATTGAACCTGGGTCAGCCGCATGCAAGACACACACCCTACGGACTGTACTTTCTCTCCCATAGCCAAGAGTAACTTTTTTGAATAACCTTTTCTTGTTTCGTTTTGGTTTGGTTTGGTTTCTGGGCCACACCAGCAATGCCAGGAGTTACTCTTTGCTCTGCGTTTAGGAATTACTTCCATTGGTGCTTGGGGGACCATATAGGATGTGGAGGATCAAACCCAGGTTGGCATCATGCAAGGCAAAGGCCCTACCCACTGTACTAGCGCTTCAGGCCGCCCTGAATAATTTTTTTTAGTTTATTTTTAATTTTGGGTCACACCTCGCTCTGTACTCAGGAATCACTCCTTGGAGGTGCTTGAAGGATCAATATGGGATGCCGGAGATTGAACCTGGGTTGGCTGTGTGTAAAGCAAGAACCCTATCCACTGTACTATCCCTATGGACCACCCCTCCTTCTCATGAGTAATTTTTAAAGGAAAAAAGGAAAAGCCCACAAGGGGCTAGAACGATAGTACAGCAGGTGGAGTGTTCGCCTTGCGCGCATCCCGCCCAGGTTCAATCCTCGATGTCCCATATGGTCGCCCAGCAACGCCAAGAGTAATCGCTCAGTATCGCCAGGTGTGACAAAGAAAAGGAAAAAAGGAAAACACAACCACAAGGTTTCAGGTACGTGACAATTAGCTTTTGTAACTGCCTGAAATCTTCCTGCTCCGAACATTAAAAAAAAATTAATACAATTATTCGAAAATATGCACTTCTCTGATTATACTTCTTTCCAAATAATCGATTTGATCTTTGCAAACTGGCACGCACTGGGCTGCCATTTTGTAATCTATTAATCTATTAACTTCTACCAGTTTTCAGATCTTACTATCTCATTCCTACTTTTGACAACCTGGCAGGCTACCGAATGTAACCTGCCCACACGGCAGAGTCTGGCAAACTCCTCATGGCGTACCCAATATGCCAAATACCAGTAACAATGATGGGTCTCATTATCCTAACCCTGAAAGAGCCTTGAATACGGCACTTTTTAAAAAATCTCAGGGCTAGGAGGAAGGGGACGTTACCGGGGCCTGCTCGAGGCAATCCAAGTGATCATCGGGGTTTTCAGATAGGCACAAAAAAGCCAAAGAATCCCTGCGCCTGGGAAGAGCGGTACTGCCAAGCTGCCAGTCTGCAGCCGACCACTCAGGTTCCTTCCCAACGCCTGACCAGAGCGTGGGAAAACGCATCCCAGCGGCTTTCCGCACCCCGGAGCATCCCCGGGGCTCTCCGCACCCCGCCACCTCCCACGGCTCTCTGCACCCCGAGGCATCCCCGCGGCCCTCTGCATCTTGCGGCTCTCCGCACCCCGCCGCCTCCCGCGGTTCTCCGCACCCCGCAGCATCCCCCCCGGCTCTCTGCACCCCGCCGCCTCCCGCGGTTCTCCGCACCCCGCCGCCTCCCGCGGCTCTCTGCAGCCCGAGGCCTCCCGCGGTTCTCCGCACCCCGCAGGCTCCCCGCGCTTCCCCTCCGGCCCACCCGCGCCACGATAACGCGCGGGCTCCCGAGTTCTCCGCTGGGTGACCGAGAGCTGCAGCCAGCCCCCATCGCGCTCCCTCCTCCAGGGGTGCCCAGCCCTGCACCGGGACTGCGGGGAGAGAGGATTGCACCACGAAGAGAGGCAAAGGTGCGTTTCCGTGACTCTCCCTCGCAGCGCCGGAGAGCGGGGGTCCCAGGGAGGGCCGGACGGACGCGGTCTTGGCATCGCCCCCCGGCCCGGGCTCGCTGTCAGCGCCGCCGGCCCTCGAGGCCCAGCGCGGGGCTAGCCAGGCCCGGCGGGGGCGGGGCGGGGCGGGGCGGGGCGGGAGCCGGGCCCCGCCCACAGACAGCCGCGGCCAATGCGAGCGCGAACAGCTGCGGAGGCGGGGCCCAGCTCGGACCGCTCCGGCCTTAAGGCCGCGCCGGGCCTCCACTGGGTGCGGGAATCGGCGAGCGAGTGTGCTGTGCGCCTGCGCCGAGGGGCTGCGGGCCAACGTGAGTCTGGGGTCTCGTCTTGGGGCTGCGGGGCCTCGTTCGCGGACACCCCGGCAGCGCGACGATGCTGGGGGCGCAGGGGGAAAGCGGGCTCGGCCCGTGCTCCGCGGACCGCGGCGGAGAAGGGTTCGGGGCGCGGGCAGGGGGAGGACGCCAGGGAGCAGGGCCCGAGACCCCGAGACTGCCGGCCGCGCCGGAACCCCGAGCCCTGTGGGCCGCGGGCGCGGGCTCAGCCGTGGGCTCGGCCCGCTCAGCCCCTCGGCCCCTGGCCAGCGCAACAGCTGGGTGCGGGGCCGCGCTGGGCCGGGGCCGGGGCGGCGCCCGGCGCGCACGTGACACCCTGCCCCCTGGGACCAGAGCAGGCAGGCCCGCGGGAGGTGGGCGCAGCCTGGGCCCTCGGACGGGCCGAGAGCCCCCGGCGTGGTTTCGGGGTGCTGCTAACGTGCATCTGCGAGTGCGAGTTGGCGCCGACGGCTGACTCAGGCGTCACCAGAGACCTGGCTGGGCCGCGCTTTTGCAACAAAGCGTCTCGTGCCCCAAGGCCAGTTGTCAGCTGTTTCTCATCCGCTGACCCGCCCTGTTTACCGGCACTGGCCTGTTTTCCTTCCCCCAGGGCTCCGCCTGCTTTGGGCGCCCAGGGCCCGGGGATCCACAAATCCTGCCTGCTACTGCGCGAACCCTTTGATGGACTGCATGACTGACGATGCTTCCTTCCCCCCTCCCTAGGTTTCTGGAGCATGAGTCCCTCCCTCCTTCTGGCTGCCCTTTGCGTGGCAGTGGCCTCAGCCACCCCGAAGTTTGACCAGAGCCTCGATGCACAGTGGCACCAGTGGAAGGCCACACACAGGAGGCTGTACGCCACGGTGGGTGGCGTCGCGCTCCCGGGAAGGACCCGCGGGGGCGGGCGGGGGAGGTTGTAGGAATCGGCCTGGGGGACAGACAGACAGACAGACAGACAGACAGCCCGTGTCCAGCTCTGCCCCGGGAGCCCGACAGGCTCACGCGTGCAGCCGCCCCTGCTTCTCTTCCTTGCCCCGACCGGTAGCAATGAATATGGGCTGGTTGGAAGTAAACAGAGATGAGACCCGCGCGTTTGTCCCCAGAATGAAGAAGGATGGAGGAGAGCTGTGTGGGAGAAGAACATGAAAACCATCCAGCTCCACAATCACGAGTACAGCCGAGGGCAGCACGGCTTCAACATGTCCATGAATGCCTTCGGGGACATGGTGAGTGTGCTCGGGACTGCATCCCCAACACCATCCTTAAGTTGCTTGCTTTATAAAAGATTTTCCTTCCTTTTCTTTCAAGACCAATGAGGAATTCAGACAGGTGATGAATGGATTCCAAAGCCACAAGCACAAGAAGTCTACGAAAACCTTCCGTGCACCTCTCTTGCATCGTCCCCCCAAGTCTGTGGATTGGCGCGAGAAAGGCTATGTGACTCCTGTGAAGAACCAGGTACTGCAGTTTCCAGGCTCAGATTTCCTGTCGGAAAGTGCAAATCCAAAAGGAATCGGCTTCTTACTTTGGTAGAATGTAGGGACATACGTTTTGCTATTATATTTTATAAACGTGTATGTACTTCCTGGAGTGGCAGAGATGGAACAAGTGATATAGCACAGGCTTTTCACCTGCCACTTCCTGGCACCCCCCCATGCTGGAAGTAGTCCCTGTCTTCCCATTTTCCTGCCCACCCCCAACACTTTAGGGTTGGCTTCTGGCTTTAAAAAAAAAAAGTGGAGTTCATGCACAATTCAATCAGCTAATCAGTGACTGAATAAATAGCAGTACTCCTACAAAAAAAATTAAATTAAAAAATTAAAAAAAATCCATTTCCCTTAAGGAAATCCTTAGTTTCTTGTTTAGTCCTGCTTTTGGAGCACATCCTGTGGTGTTCTGGAATTGCTCCCAGCTCTACACCATGTGTTGCTGGGTCAAACCTGGGGCTCTGTGGGTGTGGCATTGTATTTTGCCTTATAAACTGACAGCTTTTTTATTTTTAGGGTCAGTGTGGTTCTTGCTGGGCCTTCAGTGCAACCGGTTCCCTTGAAGGACAGATGTTCCGGAAAACTGGCAAGCTTGTTTCACTGAGTGAACAGAACCTGGTGGACTGTTCTCGGGCTCAGGGCAATCTTGGCTGCAACGGCGGACTCATGGACAATGCTTTCCAGTATGTTAAGGATAACGGAGGCCTGGATTCCGAGGAGTCCTACCCATACCTCGGGACGGTAAATGGAACTTATCTTATTATTCCAGCTGCTTTTCAAAAGAGGAGCACTTTCAGAGATAACAGCAGTCATATTTTACACACAAACAGAACTGACTTGAGTTGTCAGCTTTTACCCAGTTCTCTGATTAGCTGATCAACATAAACTGTTATTTTGTGGAATGTAGAATATATATATGTCACTCTGCACATTAGGCAAATTTCTCAGTAAGGGGAGAAATTTCTTAATGGACAGATAGAACTTAGGGGGTTTCATTTGAAGTTACTTGCTTGTACTTCAATGGGTAACTTTTAAAAATTCTAATTTTATTTCATTAAGTTGCAAACTCCTGAGTCTTACTCAGAAAATCACATTCGATTCAGTATTTTGGTGGTAATAAATCTCTTTCTGGTACTTTTTAAAGGACACCGGTTCATGCAATTACAAGCCCGAGTTTTCTGTTGCCAATGACACTGGCTTCGTGGATGTCCCTAGCAAGGAGAAGGAGCTCATGCTGGCAGTGGCAACTATAGGGCCTATCTCTGTTGCTATTGATGCCGGTCATTCATCCTTCCAGTTCTACCATTCAGGTAGGTGTTGTCTGGTTGCTTCCAGGAATTCCTGGGGACAGAGTTGGGGACACCACCCTGGTTCCCTGGGCACATCTGCTTCCTAGGACCTAGGAGAGCTCATGCATAATCAGCACAGGTGTTTGCCCTTTATGAATATTGAGATATGGTGGGTTTTTAATTGCATTCCAACTTATGTAACTATACTCCAGTGCTGCACCTTTTCTCCAAAAATGTTTTGCTATAGTGACTGCAGTGTTAGAGAACCTGAGGCTCAAGTCTTTTTTTTTTTAATGTGTATGCTGTTTTTGCTTTTTTCGGGTCACATGGCTCTTGCACTCAGGAATTACTCCTGGCAGTGCTCAGGGGACCATAGGGGATGCTGGGAATCGAACTCAGGTCGGCCGCGTGCAAGGCAAATGTCCTACCCTCTGTGCTATCTCTCCAGCCCCTGGAGTGATAGCACAGCGGTAGGGTGTTTGCCTTGCACGCAGCCAACATGGCCGACCCAAGTTCGATTCCTCCGCCCCTCTCGGAGAGCCCAGCAAGCTACCGAGAGTATCTCGCCCGCACGGCAGAGCCTGGCAAGGTCCCTGTGACGTATTCGATATGCCAGACACAGTAACAACAAAGTCTCCAATGGAGACGTTACTGGGCCCACTCGAGCAAATCGATAAACAACGGGAGGATAGTGACAGTGAATGCTGTTTAAGACAAGCTCCCAGCCTGCTTTACTAGCTCTCTAACCCAAAACAAAAAATTGAGGGGGTCGGTGGGTGTTGGATCACACCCAGCAGTGTTCAGGAGTTACTCCTGGCTCTATTCAGGAATCACTCCTGGTGCTGCTCACGGGACCAAATGGGATGCTGGAGACCTGGGTCAGGTGTGTGCAAGGTACACACTAGCCCTCAAACAAAAAAAAATGTTTTTAATTGAATCACTATGAGATATAAAGTTACAAAGTTGTTCACGATTGAATTTCAGTCACACAATGTTCTAGCACCTGTGCCTTCACCCATGTACATTTTCTACCACCAGTGTCCCAGTTTCCCTCCTGCCCACCTCCCCATTTAAATGAACTTTAAATTTTCCCACATTCTCCCACTGCACCCTTGCCCCATTCTTTCTGATAGTTTTTTTCTTAAGTCAGTGGTTTATTTATTTTTGATTGTTCATCCATTTTATTTACTTATATTGCACACTTAGGTGAAGTCATCAAGTATTTCTTTTTCCTTCTGCTTTGTATTTTCTATCCCTTCGTTCTTTCCATTTTCTACCAATGGCAAAATCTTGCCTTTGTTTTTTAATAGCAAAAGGGGAAAAATTAATAGAAAATACTTTGGATTTCGTTGCTTTTCGTTGATTTCTGATGAGTTGTTTCATTTTTTCTTTTTTTCCTCACACATGTAAGGCAGGTGCTCTCCCACTGAGCTGACCTGACTTTTATTCAGTTGTTCTTAAGTCTGCTGTGAAATTTGTGTATGGCATTTCTCTGAATTATGAGGGATGCCCTGTGTTGCTGTGGTGGTAGTGGGCCTGGGGGAAGGGGTCCGATATAGCCATGCCCAGGGCGGGTGGCGGGGTGGGGGTTGGCTGAATGGCAGCTGGTGCCAGGGCACCATTCAACATGTGACTGAACCAACCCTGTAGATGTGCAGGGATATTCTTTACCACATGAGCCACATCCCTGGGCCCAAGATGTTTCTTTGAACTGGTTTTTGTCGTTTGTGTTTTTATCACTTACCTCCTTGAAGCTTCTCATTCCAATGCCATGTTTATTCCCTCAGGCATCTATCATGAACCAGAGTGCAGCAGTAAGGACCTGGATCATGGCGTGCTGGTTGTGGGCTATGGCTATGAAGGAACAGATTCGAGCTCAAATAAATATTGGCTTGTCAAGAACAGGTATAGAGCTTCATATATTATATTTGAAAATAAGTATTGACTTTCCAGCTCAGAGAAATCTTTCCCCCACTTAGAGTGAGCAGAGGCACTTCTTATTTTTTCTTCCAATGAAGTAAAATAGTTTTAAGTAAATTTACATAGAGATGAGGGGAGAGAAAGAGAGAACATGGACTTTCCCAGAGCAGGAAAAGTCAGAAATACATCTGGGAGCTTATTTTACATGTTACCAGCATTAAAAAAAGGACTGGTAGAGGGCAGGGTTGAGCTCTGGGACCCGCATGGCCGAGGGGATATCCCTCCTTAATCGGCATATTGTCTGTACTCCACATGGGCACTTTGAAGCCTTCCCTGTCTCCTTTCTGGGGCTCGGAACACTATAATGGAAAGGTTTTAAGTGAAAAATGATGAACCTCTTAGAAAGAAAGAAAGAAAGACATGCATCTGGGCCCTGGGTTTTAGATCAAGACTTTTGCACTTGTAGATTTCAGGGTGATTGCTTTTTTTCTGTCCCCATTGTTTCAAAGTGGTGCAGGCAAGTCTGAACAGTTACACGCAGTAGTCTGGCCTGTCTGCTTTCTTCCTGTGAACACTCCATACCCTGCTGCTGTTACACTATTTCCCATCTCCCCCCAATCTTGAGCATTGTTGGAATCAGTTTTCACAAATTCTTCAGTTGAGATGAAGTGTATGTTGACTTGAAGTGGACAGATCATGACATCGAAATCCCAGTCCTACTACAATTTTCTGTCAAAGAAAGTTGAGGACACAGGGGAATAAATATAAATACATGTAATTGCACGTAGAATCATGTCTCATGTTACTCAACTTGAAGTCAACTGTATTATAAATGAAATTGTGCATTTGATTCTTTGTTAAAAATGAAAAACTTGCTCTTTCAGCTGGGGTCCAGAATGGGGCTGGAATGGTTACGTGAAAATGGCCAAAGATCAAGACAACCACTGTGGAATCGCAACAGCAGCCAGCTATCCTGAGGTGTGAGGGGACGGCCAGCCACCACAGGACTGAGGACAGCATGTCTGAGGGGAATTGATCTTAAAACTGACCAAACTCTTAATGTGTAAGATAAAATACTTGAATCATTGAAGATCCAAGTTGTGATTTAAATTCTGTGACATTTTTCTAAGGGTAAAATGTTACCACTATAATTAGATATAAATAGCTTTATAATGTTGAGGACTCATTACTTAACTCTAAGACTTTTGAATTATCATTTTTTAAAAGGATGTATAAGCTTTATCTTTTAAAATAAATTTTAATTCAATATGTAGAGATGTGCTTTCTTTCTGACTTTAATACATTAATTTTCTTGGATAGTTGGGAAATACAAAATACAAATATGGTTCAACCACAGAGTATGCGAATGGTACATAAGAAAGGAGGATTTCTAGATCTTCATGGTACAAATGTGCAACTTTGTGTCCAGTGCCTATTGGATGTGTAGAGCTAATGTGTCTTGAACCTCAGAGAATTTGACCGTCTATTGAACAAAAATAAAAACAGTTCACTTTTAAGAGAAGTGAATAAACGTACAGATTCTTAGACTTTAATACTAGAAAACATCTTCTATGATACAAGATGGTAACCTTGTAAATGATTATGGAATGCAAGTCTCAGAAGTTGTTCCTCCAGCATAAGCTTGAGTTGTTTGCACGTGGATTGCTCTGGTCTTCTGCCAGTTCTCTGACATCATCTGACTTATCTCTTCCAGGAAGTCTCATTTGTAATAAGAAAAATATATACCCACATTTAGCAGGTTAAAATAAATGTCTATATTTAAAAATCTCATTGATCCCAGAGTCAGAGATGTAGATAGCACAGTGATAGAGCATTTGCCTTAACGTGGGGCTCTGATATGAATCCCCCAGCTCTGCAGACAAAATAGGAAAAACCTGAAATTATTATGATGTCAAATAGGCTAAGGAAAAAAAATTAAAAAAACAAATAGGCTAAGGAATAAGCTGCTAAAGTATTTGATCTAGCTAGCATCCGTTGTGAAGAGAATGAGAGGTGAAAGCCAAATGGAATCATGTTTCCTAAAACCTGTAAAGGGATCTTGGAAGGTACAGTCTATCACAGTGAAACCAAGTAGCTACAGTAGCAGCATGCTAACAAGTGCTATTCACAGTCCCGGGTCCACTCCAGACTCCGGAGAAACATATAGGTGCAAAACTAGAAGTTGAATTTCAATCATAAAGTTTCAAGTCTGTCAAAGTATAGTTTGACCTGCAACATCAAAATATAATCATTTAAAGGTTTTGTAACTTTCACAGACCTTCAACTTCAAATTTGTGAAAAGTCCCAAACCTCAGTTATTATCTAAAAGTAGTTTTCAAAGGAACCAATATAAGAAAACAAATTTGATCAATATAAAACTCTAATGTGAAGCACAAGTATAATCACCCCTACTTCCAGGCTAGATGTTATTTCTTGTCCTTCGATTGCAGAAGTAGGCTTTGCTTTTTTTTGAAAAAAAAAATAGAAATATCTCAGAAAGAGCCTTGCTTGAGTGGTGTGTAGCTCTATCTAACCGTGGGCAGTGTTCTAACATCTGCAGAACGCTGAAAGCACCCACCTGATTCACTGAGGTCGCCTTTGAAGGAACAGTTATGTGGGAAACGTGCTCGAGCAGGCCCAGTAACGTCTCCATTGTGAGACTTCTTGTTACTGTGTTTGGCATGCTGATTACTCTCAGTAGCTTGCCAGGCTCTCCAAGAGGGGCCGAGGAATCGAACCCGGCTCGGCCGGGCTGGCTGCGCACAAGGCAAACGCCTTACCACTGTGCTATCACTCCAGGGAAACGTGCAGTTGGGCTTTTTGCCTAATCCCAGCACTCTCTCAACATACATCTCCAGAACTGTCATTAACCTTCTAGTCATGTTCCCTCAAGACCTCAGTCAATCTGTCTCACGAGGGCCATAGTTCAGGAATCAGTTCATAGTCATCAATCTGGTCACTTTGAGCAAAACACTCAACTGCTTGAAGCTCTACTTCCTGGGAAGATTTCCCTCCACTTCTCCTCTAGGGATGTCTCAGAGCTAGTGGTGCTGCTGTACCTGCCTGCCTTACATGCAGAAACATTTGTAAACCAGAATCAAGTTTTCCTTAGCTGACAGTCTTCCAGGGACTACGGATTAGGGGAGAGAAGGCAGGAATGGGAACATGGCTAGTTAGGCCTTGTGAAACTAGGGCCCCTCCACTTGAAGTGCTGTAGTGTGCATTCACCTTGGTGGCCAGGTAACTCCCAGTGATAACTGACGGTATCAGCCAGGTGGCCTGTGTTTGGGCACTGATTATCTACTAAGGCAAACTGAAAACTGTTTATCTTTAGAGGATGCTGCAACTCTGCTCAAAGATCCTAAATTCTACGTTATGATCAACCCACAGTGGGCTGTAGAGCCCCCAAATAGCATTTTTCTGCCACTGACGCTATTTCTGTTGTTTAGGGGCCATTCAGTTCTGTACTTGCTTGGTCCTGGGGATGCACAAGGAGCATGCAAAGCCAGCGACTGCCTGCAAAAAACACATGTGCTCAGCCCTTTGTACTCTCTCCAGCCCTGCCACTGACACTTTATTTTATTTATTATTTATTTATTTGCTTTTTGGGTCACACCCAGTGATGCTCAGGGGTTCCTCCTGGCTCTGCATTCAGGAATTACTCCTGGTAGTGCTTGGGGGACCATATGGAATGCCAGGGATCAAACCCAGTCAGCCGTGTGCAAGGCAAACACCCTACCCGCTGTACTACCACCCCGGCCCCAAGGACATAACTCAGTAAGTGCAAATGTTACTTAGAATAGCATTGCAAAATGATGAATTCAATTTCTCCCAAAATCCAAATAGACATTGTGACAATTTTGATTTTAAAAGGGATCAGATGCAATGACATATCTGCATCATAGAAGAAGCAACTATTTTTTTCTTTCATTCAACATGTCCCGCAATACTAAACATCCTAGAAACTGTACTGAGTTGGAAAACCCATAAGTTTTTTGTGGTTTTAGATAAGATTTTTCTGCCTTCTGACATGCAAATACCTTATAAAAAAGTCCAGGGTAGTTGTTGATTCTTTTTTTTCCCACTTTTTATTGATTCACCATGAGGTGCAGTAACAAAGCTTTCATGTTTGAGCTTCAATCATACAGTCTCTCAAACACCCATCCCTTCACAAGTGCACATTTTCCACCAACAAAATCCCCAGTATTCTCCTCTACCCCCCCACCCCCCATTTCACACCTCCGCCTGCCTGTGTGGCAGGCAATTTGCACAATACTCTCTCTACTTTGGTTACATTCATTATTTTGACACCAGTCCCACCATGCTTGTTATGGATAAAATATAATGTCGTGTGGCTGTTCTTGTAGCTGCATGCTCTAGGAATTCTAATCAACCACAATCACAACCATCCTGTTATTCGTCGATTGCCTCGGGCAGGCCCCAGTAACGTCTCCTTCATCCTAACCCTGAGATTTTTTTAAAAAGGTGCCATATTCAAGGCTCTTTCAGAGTTAGGAGAATGAGACCCTTCATTGTTACTGGTATTTGGCATATTGGGTACGCCACGGGGAGTTTGCCAGACTCTGCCATGTGGGCAGTTTACATTCGGTAGCCTGCCAGTTTGTCCAAAGAAGGAATGAGATGATAAGATGTCACGCGGCCGGCTGCGTGCTTCTGGGAGCTGGGTTTTATAGTCTCTGAGTCTTGGCCGTTGATGGGATTACACTGCGCCAGGGGGCCAGTTGGTGGGTGTGACCCCCACCTACTGGAATTTGGAGGATCTGGGTGGAGGATGCTCAGCCCCGATCCGAATAGGTTTGGAGATCTCAGCCCCGGGATCTGCGTGCCTCTGCCAGTACTTTCATGTGTGCAGAGAGTGGTCTCAGCATGGTGGTGGCTGGTTCTGGAGGTCTTCGGCTGCCGGAGCCATGGTCGGGATGGGGAGGAAAACTCAACCCGCTCCCCTCCAAGGGGCCCCGGCGAGGACAGCCAGGCGCGGGGGCAGGAGACTCTAAATTCTAAAATTTTAATAATTAGGGTCTGGAGAGATCTCTGCAGCAAGTTGCTCGGTTCTGAGATTCATGTATGCATTTCTGGATCATGGCCATGTGGGAACTTAAAGTAGACGGTGGCCCACGACATAATATGCTCTTCATAATCAACAATAGAAAACAAATTATCTATTGATGTCTTTGTGGCAGGTCTGAATGTTGGGGAAAATTCCAAATAACAGTGTTGGGTCTTTTGTCATAATATTGAATGTGTTCAACATAGAAAGAGAGTAAAATGGAAATCTGCCACACAGGCAGGGGGTTGGTGGGAGGGGGGTATACTGGGGTTCTTGGTGGTGGAAAATGTGCAGTGGTGAAGGGACGGATGTTTGATCATTGTATGACTGACCAAGACTTGAACTGAAAAGCTTTGTGACTGTTCTCACAGTGATTCAATAAAAAAAAAAAAAAGTAGATGGCCCTGTGTGTGTTATCTCAGAGTACTATCTGGGCGGGGGAAGGAGAAGGACCTGTCCCATGAGGCCTGGTGTTTCCTGCCACCATCACAATGTACCTGGAGCTTTCACTGAGTTGTAGAAGATGGCGGCCACCAGAATTCCTAGGATGGCACCTGCCCCCATCTGGAGTGGCCAGCAAAAGTGGCCTATTGCAAAGTCCAGAGCCATCTCTGCAGCAAGTTGCTCGAGTCTGAGATTCATGTGTGTGTCACAGTTGTTGATTCTTAACTCACTGGGTTCAGTTAGCATTCTGTCAATGATAATGGACCAGTATACCATCTGGTGGAAAGAAAAGAGCATGAATACTAAATGCACAGTGTTGGAAAGTTGATCTGTCACAGGTTTCTGTTATGGAGGGGTGGGGAAGCACTTGCCAGATCAATACCTATAGAATAGAAACTAGGGGATGTATGATTTGATCAAACTAGAACTTCTAGAGAAACAGTTACAAGTTGGAGTCACAAAGTGACTAGTTTTGAGATCATTGATATTTTCCTAGAATTATCTTTTATTCACAGGCCAAAAGGGCGAATTGAATGGTGGTGTAAGAATCACTGCCCCTTGGCTGATAGTACAGCAGGTAGGGCATTTGCCTTGCACGTGGCTGACCCAGTTCAATCCCCAGCTTTCTATGTAATCCCCCTAGTACCACCAAGAGTAATTCCTGAGTGCAAAGCCAGAAGTAACCCCCTGAGTATAGTCAGGCATGACCCAAAAAACAAGAGAGAAAGAGAGAGAGAGAGAGAGAGAGAGAGAGAGAGAGA